TATTCATTGCTGTCATTAAACCTTTTAATTGTTCCTTTTTCTTCGTCTGAGTCTTTCCAGATTGAATTATTTTTACCCAGTTTCTTACCCAGTCCACTGACATCGCAAATCGGAATTCCTGAAAAAAGGATAAGCCTTTTTTTTTTTTTTCTTTAGAGAAAACTAAAATAGTTACTTCCTGACATACTCAGACTTCTATGAACCTAGAATTTAGTATAAATTGCAACTGGTATCAAAATAAAGCTCCTCCAATTCTGGTATCATTTCATAGTTTACACACTCTCATCTCAACACATTGGTTTTCCTCTGTGGTGAAACTGAAGAGCTCAGTTTATTCAGAGCACATTCATGGTAAAAAGGATTCTTTCTGGAACTGAACGCTGCTGCTGCTGGTATGTTACACAGAGTCGTATTTAAAATCTGCTCAGAATCTTAATTGTTGTCCTGGAATTTTGTTTTCCACAAGATGAATCCGACTAATTGCATCTTCCTTGAATAACCAATTTTCACTGGAATATAATCAACCTCTTAGTGGCTTTCACACATACACACACACACGCACGCACACACACGCACGCACGAGCACATATGCGAACACACGGACTCTCTTCCTGTCATTACTGTCAACAAGCTATGCTGCATTCTTATTAATTCATTTCTGAGTTAAAACTAGAAAGTAAACTGGAAACAAAACAGTCTCAGCTCTGTTTGTTTTCCGACTGGAATCATTAATCATCTCATTCAGCGCTATAGCTTCAGAGATACAGCTGGAAAAACAAATATTAGATATTATATCTGTTGTAAAAACAGTGAACTCTCACATCAGTAATGTGTACAGTTGCTGGGAAAATGCTCAGCGGCGAACAGATTACATCGAGAATATAACAAACAGACTTTCCAGTATGCTTCCAAAAGCTCCAAAAGTTGGAATATTACAACACTTCTGGGAGCTGGATAATTATTACATGCACTTTAGAACCATAACTCCTTATGAAACAATTAAAAGTGAAATTTACCGGCTCCAAGACTGTTACATAGGCTTCGTTTAACTGAAAATTATTTAAAATGAACATTTTG